ATGACTGAATGAAAGGTCGAAACATATCATTAGCTTAATGAATTGATAAATTATAATTTCTCTATAATAACTGTGGGTTTTTTGTGCTCCTTTCCCAAATTAAATTTGATTTAATCGAAAAGCTGTTATTCAATTTGTTTAAAAAGAATTAATTTTTAGCTAAAATGAATTTTTTTAAATCTCATTCAATCCTTGCTTGTTCCATTCCATTTTATTTACCGGGATGAGCAACAAATCACACAAAATTCTAATAGTAAATAAAATTCTTGTAATATTTTCATAATGACACCTCAGTTATATTTTTACAAGTTTCATAACATGCGTGTAAGAATCAAATAATATGCTTATAAAATTCATGTAATATGGATGTGAGATTCATGTAAGATTCTTGATTTACTTACAGATACGTATACGATATATTCTTATACGATCTGTATTTCCTGTCCGAAATTTGTATGTGAAAATTTTCTTAGAAGATCTCACAAGAATTTTTCTTTTAAGAATTTGCAACACAGGAAAACAACAAAGATGTAATGATTCATTGTGTTAACAAAGTTAAAAATAGAAAATTAGAATAGAAATATATGGTATGTGTGAGCCAACCGCAGAACTTATTACGTAAAACAATACATATATTTTAGTTGTACATAAAATAGTCATTTTACCTCGTACGTTAATAACTATATTTCGACTGCGTGATTGAATCCTCTTCAAAAACAATATAAACGATTACATAAAATTGAATGGCGAGACTTTATCTTTTCGAAACTTTAGAGCTAAGCTGCTTCCGAGTTCATTGCGTCAAACTGTATCATTTATATTTCTTGCTGGAAAGCAGCCTGTAATGATAAATGCGATTGTGTAATTTTTTATTTTTTTCCTTGCATATTTTTTACTTTTATTACCTTATAAATAGTAAGCATTAAGAAGATAGTTATATAATTGCGATTGCGTTAGTAAAAATATTTTAAATGCAATTAAAGTTATTTTTTTTCTTATTTATCATTCATCTCTTGATTATTTTACTATATTTTTTAATATTCAAAATAATTTAATATATTAATAATTTAATATATT